GGTATGCCAGGTGCTCCGGGACCTGCAGGACCACAAGGACCACCAGGAAATGCTGGAGCTTCAGGAAACCTGACACCATATTACTGTGGAAGCTGTCCTTCTCGCGTATCAAGTGCCGCAGCTGCTGCTTATTCTTCCAGCAGTGAATATAGTGCCAGCAGTTCATTTGGTGCTAGTGGAGGTGCTAGTTTAGGAGGAGCAGCTAGTTTAGGAACAGCTGGTAGCGTAAGAACAGGTGGTGGTGCAGGAGGATCTACTCAAACTATTACAAAAACAACCACAGTAGTAACTGAGCGCACCAGCGGCGGAAGAGGATCTGCCTCCTCGTATCGCAGTGGCGGCGGTGGATTTGGAAGCAGCACTTCCTACAGCACTAGTTACAGGACTGGAGGAGGATCTGTTTCTTACCGACAAGGAAATTTAGGACGTGCCGGTAGGACTTCTATACACTCAAGCAAAACTTCTTCTAGCATCTCGAGTGAAGAAGATTATGAAAGGAAGAAAAAGAAGAAGAGAAAGCATCATCGCTCTAGAAAGGTGACGAAGGTGTGATTATCAGTACCATCTTAAAAACAATTGCTTTTTTCTGTCTGATTCTTCATTTAAAACTAGAGTGATTCTGAAGGTTCTTGTTTATGTAATCAACAAATTTATTAATAAAAATGCAAATCAATTTGTGCGTATCACTTTTCATTTTTCTGCACTTTTTGTGGCATATTAAAAATTGTTGAACTGTTAACAAGGCATTACTGGAAAGTTTCTTTTCTGAGTTTTCCTTAGTAATAGAACGAGGTTCTAGTTCTGTTATGTTTTCAAAAGTGCGTTGAACAAGTTGAAGCACAACAGATACATCATAACAAATTTCAAATGATCAGGGTTAAAGTAAAGCCTTGTTTGCGGTTACTTCAGTAGCATGACGAATAAGGCTTACCTGTTTACTTTTTTTGAGGATATAAATAATAGAAGCTTAATATGATAAAATATCAACAAAAAACAAACATTATTGAAACCCTTTTCCTTTTGAGTGTAAAAACAGCAGCATAGTTAACAGCATTTAAGTATGAGCTGCTTTACTTATTATCCGACGAGCTTTTGTAGGTCGACCAAAGAACCGTAAATGAACATTCCACGTGTCTCCTTTTTTATTGACAGCTTCACCGAAGTCTCAGGAACTAGCAGAATATAATTTTTAATTAGATATGGACTGTACCTTTCATTTTGTTTACAGACAGACCTAGAACACTATAAATGAAAAATAAATTTTAAAGTCAGTTACACTCTGCCTAAATTTTCAGTCTTTACAAAAGTCCGTCGTGGTGAAAGTAATTTTTTATGCACTTTGGCAGAATTTTGTCTCATTGAGCATCATGCTAGTTCATGAAATCCTCCACTCTATAATCTGCTACCTTTTATTAGCTCCCTGTTGTTGTTATATTCTCTCTGCCAAAATCTTTATTTATCGTGGCAAAGTGGAAGAACATTATCATTAATTTTCATTCATGTTTGTCGTAATATTTGCAATTCTGTATACTGTGACTAATGTCACAATTAATATTTATTTCTTTCCTCCGCGTTTCCTCGCGTTTAATGCTGCAGCAAACATGAAAAATAATGAACAAATTTTTGTGAGAACAGAATTTGCAAAACGCTTTAGAAAATGACATCACTGTAATTTTAAAAATCACATTTTTTAGAGTTAGACCGAGAACGAAAGCGGTCTCTATCTTAATCTGTTGCTGTAACTGAGTTAAGTATCTGGGACAAAATTCACTTCATAGTTTGGTTAACACTGTTGCTGAAAATTCACCGACTTCTGCGAATGGGTTTTTTCTCCAACTGTAGCTTTCGCTAAACTTTCAAGATCTGAACGTACTGCAAGTGACTGTTATCAAAGAGTGCCAAAAAAAGCGTAAGAATGTTTTGGTTTTTGAAAACAAAATAAAGCAGAGCGTTTTTAGTAAAATGCGATTTGTAAGCTTTCTTTGTCCAAAAAATGTTTTAAAGCTTGCTGAGGAGAAAATTCCTTGTAGGGTAGAATTGCAATTTTTCTTAGCTACCTTTCACAGAAACTTGCGTTGAGCGTTTTTTATCTCACCATCAATCTGCATAGTTGTGGCAAGAAGTTAGTATGTCTAATTAATTCTTGCCTAAACGAAGATGGTTTTTTAGCAGTCAAAACTCTCAGTATCGCCACATTTGTTGACAAGGAGCTACCTCAATTTTATTACGAAGAATTAGACTTAACAGTCAGCTGATTGATCATAAGTATAACTCAGAAAATTTTTGTAATTAGGTGGTTATACAAGATGTATGACAACTTCAGAAAATTGTTAAGTTAGAGAGCAAAGAAACAAAAAGATAAACAAACTTCAAGACGTTTTTCAAAATCAGTTTAGAAAAACTTGTTTTTTGTATGTTTAGCGCGAAGAATGTTTTGTCAAGCATTCTTGCAATGGTCACTTTTTAATACAATTATAAAAACAATCTCACATTTTTTTGTCATCTTCTAAAATAAGACTGATCTTCTAGTGTTTTGTATTTTACTAAAATTGAATGTAGACTGTTTGCTTCGCAATGGTTATTATTCGAAGTAGGTAAATTTTTTACTATGATTTCAGCGTTTAAGTGATACTGGAAGTCATTTTTTAACTTCTTCTGTTTAACTTTTGATAGAATTTTAGCTTGACTAGAGTCGGTATGTTTAAGGAAAGCATTTGAAAATTATACAACTATGAAACGTGCTAAAGTAAAGAAAAATTTACAAATCTATAAACGCTGAAGTAAAAATTCACTTTTTTTATTTGTTTAAGGTAGAAAAAAGTTGTTTACTTGATACTGATAATAGAGAGCTTCAAAGAATAGACTTCACAACTCATATTTGGAATAACTTATCTATAGCTTTTGCTGATTATCCTATCGAAAAGTGCTTGCTGTATTAAAATTTTAAGTCATTAGCTCTAAAAATAGATGTTGCGGAGAACTTAAAGCAATGATTGGAATCTGACTTGTCAACTTTTTAAAACGCCAAATTTTGACTTAAACTGCTAGTCAACTTTCTATAGTTTACTGTTTTACTCTTTCAATGTCTTACCATAACATCTTTATCTGAATCTTCATCAGTGTTTACAGTGTAAAAGGAATAAAAAAATGGCTTGCTGGGAGAATTATTTATTGTCCTCTTGTAAAGTATCAGTTGCTCAAAATTTTACTGTAAACCACTAATCTACCATAAAATTAAAAAAAAAAAAAACGAATGTAAAAATGTGTGACTTTTTCATGTAGTGAATTTTCAAATAGAATTCAAATGCGGATTGATTCCAGAAAAAGTTAGCTAACGATTTCAAACAGCGTTGGTCAAATGTTTCCGACACTTCAGCAAAATTATGTCGTTAAGACGCATTTCTTCATGAAAAATATTGAAAAATTACGAATTGTTAGTTAACTTGTTAATTAAAAT